CTTGATATTGAAAGTTGGTGTGTCTTATCATATTATTTTAATGTATTATCTTAATTATGAACACTGGTTTGTAGTGCAAACTGTTTTACCGTTTACTGCACGTTGTTATTCTCCTCGTTATAATGAACCGGAAGTCTCACCCATAGGCTTACTTCCGCGTTGAAGAAAAAGGTGGATAGTGTCTGCGCTCAGAAAACCGGAAGGAATTGAGTTCTCTCTTGCGTCGTCAGATTTATCCATATGTCTGCTCTTCTCTTACTCCCACATATTGAAATTTTTTTTACGTTTTATGCGACGGGCAGCAAGTGTATGTTAGTTTATGTCCCGCCGGTTAATATGTAGGCATCTAACCTCTGAACCACGCAGCAGATTCATTCTGAACGAATCTCTTCCCAAATCGTCCCTCCCTAACATTTTGGTCTCGTTTTTATTCGTTGACGAAAATGTCAATAGATTTACGTCATAGTTTTTGTCATTCAAAGAGAGTTTTAGTTCGTTATCGTCGGTGAAAAAGATGTCGTTGACGACAATGACGACGAAAATTATTCGTCAACGAAATGAACACTGCTCAGCAGTCCACCAAAACCACAGAATGATGGTTTCAGATGGCATGAAGTGACCAATCAGAGCTTGAGGACTGAGATATTACAGAAGATTCAAGAAGGGTCCGTCCTGCCTGTTCAAAGCCTATGAATGAGAACTTCTCTTGCATTCTTTACTGAAGACATTTAACACTCATGGTGCTGTGAATTATATATTTGCTCTAGCTACGGTTTTATTACAACAAATTTACCTCAACTATGTGACTTTCATCATTAACACCTGTTTACACCAAGGACGATAACGGTAACGATATAGTTAAAAAAAATTAAGTAAATTCTAAATCTAAAAGAATAGGGACAAAAAGAATTAAACTAATTAAGGTATCTATTTTTGGTGTTTATGAGCTGTGGTGTCTATTTTTAATGTTTTAGCAAGTGAAGAAATGTTTACATTATCACTAATATTTGCCTATGGAATTTTGATTGGTCTTTCTTGCATTCATTTGCATACTAAAATGTGATTGCTTATTTCTTTCTAACATTAATAATATTTTGTGATATAATGGAAGGTGTCACAAAAGCCATGTTATGTGTTATTCTTATACACACATGACAGAAAACAATACACATGCCAAGAAATCAATTCTGAGGCTATTTTAATAATACATGTTTCTACTCGTACTGTGAATAATCACTTCATATTATTCCAGAGCGAAAAATATTTTTTTCTTTACATTCTTAAAAATCCAAAAGTAATAACTTTTTCCGGCTCTGAAACAACTTGCCTTTTTGACTGATGTTAAGTTTTCTTTTCATTTTTCTTTTGTTTTAACTCCCATCCAACCATATGTCTCATAGAAACTACACTTCACAACTCAATTAACTCCCAATAAACAGAATCAAGTCTCCTGCTATACATTTTCCCAATGAATATCCAGTTTCACTCAGAAATTTGTCACATTGTGAACTAAATTAAAATAAAACATTGCAGAATCAGTGTCACGTGGACCCCCATATTGATGGTTGTCTTAGTAAACATAGTACATGGGAACATTCATATTGTCTTAAGTTATTTTTTGTTTTACAACTTCAAAACTACCTTGTGCAGCAAAACTTTTCATAAAGCTACATTTAGTTTTTTGTGTCACGACTGCATTTAAAGGAGTTAATACCACAGAGACATTGGATGTAATGAAATCGGCATGAATATTTTAGGAGTTTATTGCTGTGTTAACAGAAATAAGCATGTATTGCGTACAGTTGTCAGACCTCTATAAAAAATTAAGATCTGTTGTGAGTACCGGCCAATGGCAAATCACAACCACACAAATCTGTGTACCTATCTGGCCCTTTGATTCAGCCATATAACATACAGAAAAATAAAACAACACTTGATTATTCACAGGCTTTACAAAAGTAGATTAAAGATAAATAAAATTACTTTACACACCATAATGCTGTACTTAAACAAGTCCAGTTAATATTTCAAAAAGAAAAGTTGAAGAGGGGATGTGCAATGGCTTAAAATCATACATAGTGTATGAATTCTGATCTGAGATCAGGTTTTGATTTGCATTTCTGAATGAAAAAACATGCTGACAGAAAGAACTGACTGACTGGGCCTAATACCTCTATAAAATATAGTATATAGTAAAAAAAACGTAAATATTGTGCAAGAGACAAATATTTTTTTCTATTGCTTACATCTAAAGTGAAATGTAATCATTTAGCGAGATATGCAGCTGTGGAGAATAAACGACTTCGTACATCACACAGTCATTGTGAAATCCTGTTGCACCAGTCTGAATTTTTTTAAATATTTTTTTTCTTGGGCAAACCTGCCATCAGACAGGTTGACTCCTCCCTGACAACATTCAACAAAAGTGACCTGTATATCTATAAATATTGCCACTTAACTCAGTCCTGTGCAAATCCATTTTCTCCCAGTGATGGAGCCATTCAACAGATGTTGGGTGCTGATCCTTTGTATTGTCTTTGGTTTTAGCATCATGGGTTCACTGCTCTTCTATGGGTAGTTTGACAAATGCTATGGCAGCCAGTTCCTTGCAGAACTCCTCCAGAACTATCACACCCTTCAGCAGGGTCACATGATCCACCCTTGCAGAGAAAACAGAACCATGTATTTAAAAAAAAGTCAGCCTGACATTTCCACATTATGAATACTTCTTAAAGGGATAGTTCACCCAAAAATGGTCATCACTATGTTGTAGTATTTAAGGCTGGAATACAGATTTTTGCCCCAATTTACAGTCTGGACAAGTCAACGCTAGGTGCTAAAAGTCCGAGCCAGTCTGCAGATTTGTGCATGACGGGCACAGACTCTAATTCCCTTCATATGGAGAATATCAAACATGTTTAAAATTTTGAGCTGATTTTAGAACACATTTGTCAGGTGTCTCCTAGCAACAAGAGGCATGTTTCTGCATGAGTTTGTTGTGAAAGTCTTACATTGTCTCCTCCTCCAGTCCCATCAGCTGTCTCCTGATCATCATCAGTTTGTCTGTCACATTGTGGATGTGTTGGATCCTTTGCATTAACTCCCCGATCACCTACAGGAAATCATAATGCTCATGTTTTCTAGATAAATGAGGCTGACAAGGCTGCTGGTCCAAAAGTCTGTAGCTGATACATCAGGCAACAAGCTTTCATTCACAACAACATAAGCATTTTGCTCACATACAGGCAGCTTTTTGCACGGTTCTCACCCTGACTAGAGTGGAGAAAAGGGATCGCGCCCCAGGGCTCAGGCTGATGTATGGGTCCAGCAGGTATTCGTGCAGGTGAGGGTGAGGAAACACAGCCAGTCTGGACAGAACTGACGTCACCTGCAGATTCAGCTCATACGGCTGGCAGAGGGAAACAAATTAAGAAAAACAGTGAATAAAAATGGAATAAATATAAAGAAAATAATTATTTAAACTGAATTAAAATATTTTATTTTTATTTTATTTTTTATGAACGCATTTCAGCCATCTATCCTGACAAAAAGTCATAATTTTGTGCATGTTTTACTAGGCTGCATGGGTCTGTGTACTTTTGAGTCCATTCATTTTTTGTTTTTTAACCCAGAAATGAAATACGGAAAATGCGGTTTCTTCTTTAATGGTTCAAACACTGATGAATAGAAGGACGTGGTGTGTAGCCAAGTATGGTGTCCCATGCTCAGAATTTGTGCTCTGGATTTAAACCATCCAAGTGCACACACACACACACCGTGAATAGAATAAGCAGACACAAACTAAATTTAATTATAAAAAATTCGTATTTCATTAAAAATCTTTAAAAATTATATAAAGCTTATTTTTTAATGTGTATAAACGCTAAATGTTTAGCGTCTCTATACATACCTAGGCCTATTGCTTTATGAAAACCTTTGGCTCAATATTTTTATGATCTTTATAATTTTATAACATGCCATAAAAGCATGAATGAAATACTCATTACATATTTCTTTGCAATTAATTGTATCCAGGGCTGGTTCTAGTGCTAGAGGGAACGAAACAAACAAAATGTCAGATGAAGCTGTAGAAATAGGATACTGGCAAAACATATTTTCCAAATGCTCCAGTGTTTGTTTTTTTTTACTCTGGAGAGCTTCAAAGGTTTCTATTTTCAACATGCTTTCTAGCATTGATCAATCACTGACATTTCTGTTGAGTTCTTGAACGCAATGGCCAAGCATTTAAGTTAGAATCCACTCACCGCTCAAAATGCCAATTTTGTGCAGTGCTGCATGCTCGGGAGTCTCTCATTATAACAACAACAAAGTATAATGAAGTAAATAAGAGATTCATTGATTATAACAGAACTTTTGTGAGATGGCGATAAACTGAAATGAGTGATGCTTTTTTAGTGATTATAAGGGAAGCGCACTTTGCACGCTTTCTTGGCTATAATCCATTCAGAATTTTAATACGTTTCTTTTTCATGATGCTGAGAGGCCCAGTGACTACTTATATGCTGCAAAGTTTTGGGAGTGACATCTGCATATGAATGCGGCATTTAGCCTATATGCAAATGTCTCATTGCAATGATAGTGATAACCATAACAATGGACTGGGCAAAAAAATGTCCAAATAAATGTAAGGCTAGAGCACCCTCGCTAATTTCAGAAGCACCCTCAGTGATTTGAGTCTGGAACTTGGCCTGCCTGTATCTGGAAAAATAGGAGAAATTGTAATTTTATATATTTCTATATTATACATTTACCACATATATTAAAGCCTTGTGTGTAGCGCTCTAACACGATACTGTACGTGCTTTGAGTGACCATGCACGGTCCTCTCCGACTCAGTGACCCAGATAGCATACAAAATGATGACAAAATTATACCCCAATATATAATTTCATGACAACAAAGTTCCCAGGATTCTGCAATTCTGTCTATTTTAAAATAATATTTTAAAGTAATGTATTAGGTCTCTGGACTAGAGGCTTCTCTAGCTCTCAGTTGAGTGTGCGGGAGAAGCATTACTTCTAAATTGGCCAAAGAGAACTTGTAAAATCAACATTTTCTATATCAACTTGTGCATTTTGAAAATGTTTATTAAAGGTGCAAAAAGTCAAACAAAAATCTGAAAAGAAGTTAATATTTTACTTTTTCGGGCAGCATTTTGTGTGTACAGTTCTAATTTCAATTTTAGTTTAGAATTTAAAAATACAACAACCGTTCTTTTTTCATTTTTTTCGTCATGGTTAAAAAAGGAAAAACGAATGGATGCAAAAGTACATGCGCTGAAAGTAAAAGTCAAGACAAAATGAAAATATTTTGGTCTACTACTCTACCTGCTCTAGTATGCGTGCAATCCTGTCGAACAGGATTTGTAAGAAGAAAAAAAAAAAAAAACAGTGAGTTTTTGCACAAAGTTGATAGTTGCTGTACATTTGGCTTGACTGATTGCATGAAGTAAAATGGCCCAGTAACACAAAACATTGGCTTTTATTTTGTTTTCAGTGTCAACTCACCAGTTTATGTGCATCATGAATGTATGTGTCATATCCTGCTCCCTGCACCAGATGCGATGTTTTTGCCTCTTGGGGCACTAAACACAAGAAGCTAATAAAATTAAAAACAAATTAGAATCAATTTATAGACTAGTAATAGGCCAACATCAAACATATCATCCATGCCAATTAACTGTATGATATTTGACCACTCTGAAATGATTGGCATGGGGCGATATCCGTGTCCACTTGGCCAAGAATGTAGCATCATTATATTATATATCAGGGCTCCAGACTAACATTAGCAGTGGCACCAGCGCCACTAAGTTCTACAGATGGTGGCACCAGGAGCAGATTTGGTAGTGCTGGGGGTGGTGTGCGGGAGTATTAAAATATAGATCATTTAATCATGAATGATGTAATGCATTCGACTATTTCTACCACCACACCATGGTTACAGTTAGCGTTACCGCTTCTGGTTTCCTGACGTATGTCAGCGCTGTTTATAACAGAGAATTCTGTGCAGAATTTGAACGCTTCTCACTGGATCTGGCAGCACTGTTGCATCTGTGCAGTAACAGTGTCGCGAAATCAACTTCGGCTCCCGAGTAAAGCTGTTCTGAGCTCGAACAAGTTCATTTGCATCACGGTCGGAGATGATAAATGGTCCGCGCTGCACAGCTGAAACGTAGTGCGGTTTAGTTTCACTTTCGTTTCGTTTGCCGTTTGATGTTTCCCAAATGCAA